ACAGCAACATAACTTTTTGGTAAACAATCGAGATGACAAAGGCGTGTGCATTTGAACGAATCGGTCTTTTTTTTTACACAGCTCATAATATGCAGGCATTTCAGGCACTACTTGTGACTTCTCTCTTTATATTACTTGGCCAGTGCCTGTAATTATCTCCACAAAACCTCGTATTTGCTATAATGAACACTCGGATTCAACGAGATTTTTGGTCAGGCCCGGCGACCTCGTTGAATCCGAGTTCCACTGTATTCCAACTGGATTTTTTCGTTGCTTGATTTAAAAAAAAATAATTTACATGATTTTATTGATTTTAAGTGAAATTGATTAACCACTAGATCTACATTTATTTGATATTTTCTGACTTGATTTTCTCGCTGTTTAAAAAAAATGATTTAGATGATTTTATTGATTTTAAGTGAGATGAATTAGCCACTAAATGTATTTGATATATTCTGCTGGATTTTTTTGTTGTTTCTTAAAAAATAATTAATTGAGATAATTTGTATTGATTTTAAGTGAAATTAATTAGTCACTTCATTATTTGATATATTCTGACTGGATTTTTTGTTGTTTAAATAAAAATAATTAAGATGATTTTATTGGTTGTAAGTGAGATGAATAAGCCACTACATGTATTTGATATTTTCCCGTTGTATTTTGTTGTTGTTTAAAAATGGAAATATTTAAATGATTTTAAAATTTTTAATTGAGATGAATTACCAACTACAGTATTTGATATATTCCGACTAAATTTTTTTTGGTTTGATTTACAAAAAATTAATTTAAATGAATTCATCTTTTAAAAAGTGAAATTAAAAGCCACTTCATGTATTTGATATATTCCGACAGGATTTTCTTTTTGTTAGAAAAAAACTAAGTAAGATGATCTTATTGATTTTAGATGAGATTAATTAGTCATTACTTATATATTTCATATATTCCCTTTGGATGTTTTTGTTGTAAAAAAAAAAAAAAATTTTAATTATATTTTTTATTTTAAAGTGAGATGAAGAAGCCACTACACTATTTAATATATCCCGACTGGATTTTGTTGTTGTTTTAAATTAGATGATTTTATATATATATATATATATATATATATTAAGTGAGATTAATTAGTCACTTCATCATTTGATATGTACTCTTCTGCAGTTGCGGTGACCGTAAAAACTCTACTAAAACTAAACATGATAATAATATGTTCTGACTGGGGGTTTTTTGGTTTGATTTTAAAAAATAATTTAGATTAATTTATTAATTTTAAATGAGATTAATTAGCCACTAAATGTATTTGATGTATTCTGACAGGATTTATTAATTATTTATTTTTGGGGGGTAAAAAAAAAAATTTAGATAATTTTTTTGTTTTTAAGTGAGATTAATTAGCAACTTCATTTGATATATTCAAATTGGATTTTTTTGTAGGTGAATAAAAATTAATTTAGATGATTGTATTGATTTTAAGTGAGATTAATTAGCCACTACATGTATTTGATATATTTCCGTTGGATTAAAAAAATAATAATACATTTAAATGATGTTTTTTATTTGAAGTGAGATTAAGTAGCCACTACACTGTTTAATATGTTCCAACTGGACCTTTTTGAGGGTTTTTTTGTAGTTTCATAAAAAATAAATAAATAAGTTAGATGATTTGATTGATTTTAAGTGGGATTAATGTGCTGCTATAAGCTTATGTATTTGATATAATCTGACTGGTCTTTATTGTTTAAAAAAAATAATTTAGATGAGTTCATTTGATCATTTTATTAATTTTAAAGACAAGGAGAGTTACCTCTATAACCAAACAAATAAACTCACCAATGAAACCAAACTTCTACTATAGGTAGGGTAATGCACAATTTTGGTGAAGGTCAAGATTTCTGGAAGCCCGCCAAATCTGGGTTAGCCCGCTTGTCCTTAAAAGCCACCAATTAGCCACTTGATTATTTTGATGTTATCTGACTGGATTTTGTTGTTGTTTTAATTTAGATGATTTTTAAAAATTCTAAGTGAGATTAATTAGCCACTTCATTATTTGATTTTGTTCTGACTGGATATTTTTGTTGTTTGATTTTTAAAAATAATTTGTCTGAATTATTTTTTAAAAATCAAAGAACAAAAAACGCCATGGGAATATATCAAATACATGTAGTGGCTAATTAATCTAATTTAAAATCAATAAAATCATCTAATTTAATTATTTTTAAACAACAAAAATCCACTTTAAATACATCAAATAATGAAGTGGCTAATAAAACTCACTTAAAATCAATAAATTAATCTAAATTATTTTTTAAAATTCAAACAACTAAAAAACCCAGTTGTAATATATCAAATATGTGTACCGGCTAATTAATCCCACTTAACTCATTCGCTACTTATTATTTTCGGCTTGTGGACGAATTTTTTTCGGGAGGGC